AAAAAAAAAAAACAATAACATATAAATGCATATATATTTTTTAAAATGGAAAGAAGGGGGGGGGGTGACAAAAATATTTTAGTTTAAAGCTGGTTTACTTAAGGCTAGGCTGGTTAATCCTTACTTTGATAAGTAAATGCAGAGGTGTCTTTAAGGTTTTGTCGGGGGGAGGGGGGGGGCAAAACCAAAACATGGTCGGCTTGTTAATTGTTTATTACTGGAGGCTTCCAAGTACATACAAATTAAAATAAGGCCTTCAAATTCATGGGGTGGGGACAAATGAGCCACCCTGTCCTACAGTAGAGATGTAGTAGTGATGGGGATAGGGTCCTACAATAAGTAGACGTAGTAAGGCTAAGGATATGGTCCTAAAATAAGTAGATGTAGTCGTGATGGGGATATGGTCCTAAAATAAGTAGATGTAGTTGTGATGGGGATATGGTCCTAAAATAAGTAGATGTAGTCGTGATGGGGATATGGTCCTAAAATAAGTAGATGTAGTCGTGATGGGAAAAGGGTCCAAAAATAAGTAGATGTAGTCGTGATGGGGATATGGTCCTAAAATAAGTAGATGTAGTTGTGATGGGGATATGGTCCTAAAATAAGTAGATGTAGTCGTGATGGGGACAGGGTCCAAAAATAAGTAGATGTAGTCGTGATGGGGATATGGTCCTAAAATAAGTAGATGTAGTCGTGATGGGGATATGGTCCTAAAATAAGTAGATGTAGTCGTGATGGGGACAGGGTCCAAAAATAAGTAGATGTAGTCGTGATGGGGATATGGTCCTAAAATAAGTAGATGTAGTCGTGATGGGGACATGGTCCTAAAATAAGTAGATGTAGTCGTGATGGGGAGATGGTCCTAAAATAAGTAGATGTAGTCGTGATGGGGACATGGTCCTAAAATAAGTAGATGTAGTCGTGATGGGGACAGGGTCCAAAAATAAGTAGATGTAGTCGTGATGGGGATATGGTCCTAAAATAAGTAGATGTAGTAGTGATGGGGACATGGTCCTACAATAAGTAGATGTAGTCGTGATGGGGAGATGGTCCTTTCATAATGGAAACATTAAACATGAATGCAGCTAAAGACATACGCACGATTTGACCAATGGAATCTCACGTTGAACAGGATGGATGGGATTAGACGTAGGACCACTGAGTCGGGCCAGGTTTGCTGACGTCATTGCCAAAGCTAAAACCGTCGTGTGGAACGGCCCGCCCGGCGTGTTTGAGATGGACAACTTTTCTGAAGGCACCAAGTCCATGATGGACGCTATAGTACAGGTATGTCATAGCACATCATACCTATATCGGAGACGGCTTTTCATGTTTTGGTCAAGTATTTTCAACAATTCTTAGTCATGTGGGATAGTTATCAGTGACGAGTTCAGGGAAAAGTACTGACTCGTGCCCATACATTCCTGCCTTATGCCCATCATTCCTCCCTTGTGCCATTGTTTTCTGATTCGTGCCCATAATTCCTGCCTCGTGCCCATAACATTCCTGCCTCGTGCCCATAACATTCCTGCCTCGTGCCATTGTTTTCTGATTCGTGCCCATAATTCCTGCCTCGTGCCCATATCATTCCTGTCTTGTGCCCATCATTCCTGCCTTGTGCCATCATTACTGCCTCGTGCTTATCATGAGGTTTGAACAAATTATAAATTGACAATTTGTTAAGAAAGAATATATTGATCTTAGAGGTGTCACACTGCGTTTGTATTGGTGTACTTATTGAACTTAGAAGACTTAGTTAGTGTTTATCGTTCAAAGACAGTTTTAAAAACATATTTATCTCCTAAAACAGTGGTCGGCGAACTTATTAGTCAAAAGAGGCAAAAAATCAGCAACAGGACCATTAAAACATTTTTTAGAGCCAAATTTCTTTTCAAGAAACTGTCAAGAAACATTTTTTCGGAGTCAAAACGGATTTTTGACTGACTGGCCGAGCCGCACACAGGTCGTTAAGGAGCCGCATATGGCTCGCGAACAGTGATTTGCCGACCACTGTCCCGAGGTAATAATATTTTCTGAATGGCCTAGACTCTTTAAACGGGATGCAGTGTTTGAAGGGATGACCACATTATAAAAAAAAATACCAGCTTTCGATCAAAATTGTTAGTTGTTTTTTTTTTTTCCATTGACTTGCTCACGGCGCTTTGTTGATGTTGAGCTGTGTATGGGGCCCTAAGTGTACACTGAGGTGAAGGTCGCTGTCAGTTATGTATTTGATCAATGTGTCATGCCTATGTAAATAATGTATCTAATGGGTTGTGTCCGCTGTCTGACGCTGGAGTGACGCTGGAGTGACGCGGGTATTGGTCAGGTGGTTATTATATATAGGCATTGGCTCATGTGGTCAGTGACATGGCTAGGGTTAGTGCCGCCCAGTGCAGACCACAGTTTTTGCAACACCCCTTCTCCCACACACAAAAAAAAAAAACAACAACAACATTTAAAATAATAATCGACCAAATGTGATCATGCCTCAAAATCCGTAGTAAGAAATAACATGCCGCCAGGAGACCCCCAGTCCGCAACCTTTCCTGCGTCACTGCTCGTGGTTAGGGCAATGCGCCCGTGGAGCAATCATTGAAGTAGCGATACATTCAGTGGGTCACCCGGGAGTGGGTCGGCCGACAGTGGGTCACCCGGGAGTGGATCAGTCAGGAGTAGGTCAGTGGGGTGTGGGTTAGCCGGGACAGGGTTAGCCGGGAGTGAGTCAGCCGAAAGGGGTCAGCCGGGAGAGGATAAGTCGGGAGTGGGTCAGTCGGGAGTGGGTCAGTCGGGAGTGGGACAACCAGTAAATATGAGATCAGTTTCATTTTTGTTTTCGTTGCTTCGGACCCCTAAACTCTTAATTCTAGGACGGCCAGAACGAATAACACCCTTAGGTTTGTGTCCTTATATGCGTTTAACGTCACCTAAAAAGAATCTGGCTTCCACTCATGAAATGGTTTGTTGGTCTCCAGGCCACAGAAGCCGGCGTGCTGACCATCGTGTGCGGGGGAGACACGGCAACGTGCTGTAAGAAATTCAAGACCGAGGACAAGGTCAGTCACGTGAGCACGGGGGGCGGAGCCAGCCTCGAGTTGCTAGAGGGGAACACGCTACCCGGCGTGGCGGCGCTGGACCCTAACCCTGACGTCCAGGTTTGAGCCAGTGTGGTTTATTGAATGGTTTCCAGGTGTGGTTATTTGTCAACATGTCAAAATGGCCCTAGAATGTGTTTTCTAGTCGCAGTTGTGTTTACTTGACCTCGCCTATGTGTATTGTTGCTAGTAGAGCAGTGAGGAATGGAGGAATATCGCCATTTTGTCAACCTTCACGATAACAAGTCAGTGTTTTTAAGCAAGTAGTGTGTGTGTGTGGTTTATTTGATTCCTGTCACTTCCCCCTCCCCCCACAAGTCCCACCCCACCCCCAACAGATAACCATGTTATTCTGCCAAAGGGGAGCATGCCCAATAATTATCAGGCTTATCTGATCTGAAATTGGGTCATTCTGTATACAAATATTTACCAGAAATCTAAAAGAAATTTCTTTAGTCGCTTGCTATCGATAGCTTTAATTACAGAATGAAAATAGATGGTCAACACTGTTTCTTTTTTTTTTTTTAGTGATCATGTGCACTTTTATGTTTCCTTTGCAAATTTTAAAAGCAACTT